CTCCCGGCGACTATTGTTTTTCTCATCGAAGTGTTCTGGAAATGATGTCTTCTCTGTAAATTTTGTACGACATCGAAATATTTTCCATTTAAAAAATTGAAAGGGTAGGGAACTTTTTACGGCCGCACTGTATGGCATATATTTTCGGAAATCAAACTGTTAAGTGGAAATTTTCAATTTATTATCCTTCCGATTATCAACTTATTTTATATGATTGAAGTATTACTTGATGATCAAATTCATTAATTTAATCTTATTGTTCCTCTGATAGCGGTTTATGTTGGAATAGATCAGTCCCCTCATATTTTAGGGGTATAGGATCCATAATACTGGATCCAAACTCTCAAATTGATGAAGCTTGTCTTGACCCACTCCTGAAGACTCATACAATAAACTTTCGAATAATTTGATAAAGTTCAGTGCGATATGGAATTTTCTTATCAAATACATGTTTGAAGCATTTCTTGAAATTTGATTCTTGCTCACAAATATTTTGCGACCTCAAAAAATTTGGAGAATACTTCTCTTTGGGGCATCATCAGTTCTGTACAACCAGAGAAGGTTGTTAGAAAATGTCAGGCATTCAGTACCTCATTATTCAACATTAACCTTCAACAAATGAAATCGCATAATTCACTATTTTATTCAAATTCGAATTTTTATTGTTATGCTTTCTGTGGATATAAAAATATACATTTGGAAGATATTAAAATTGAAATTAATATTCTTTATTCGAAGTCGTATTCAAATGTTTTTTATTGTTAATACATACTCTATCGTGTTTTCATACTTTAACTATGTAACAGTTTTATAGTGTGACTCATATATTACTGAAAATAAAAATGAACATGACTTTCACTTCATTTCAAACCTCCTGTATCTTTTTTGTTTAAAGTTCCATTTAATTTTGTTCATGGTGTATATTTTTCAAAGACATATAAATAAATGATTGCTCATTGAAATAACAAATATTACTTACTATTTTTATGGAAAAACATTTTAGACATTAATTTTTCGAATTCAAAAAGTTGTTTGGAATTGTCAGAATCCTCATATCACGAATAATATTTCCCATTTTCTATTCATGAACGAATTGTGATTCGATCATTCCATTTTTTATTCTACTTAGATATAGCTTAGTAGAATCAAAAACGCTTTTCGAAAAAACAGACATTTATTTTTGAAAAAAAAATTATTGGAAAAATTTATTCGAAATCTTCTCGAATAAGTTCATCCCGAATATTATCCAAATTCACATTTCATTTCTCAGATACATCCCCATGACATGTATAGAGTTTCAAATTGATTACTTCCTTCCTTTCTTTGGAAGATTCTCTCATCCTTTTTTTTGTATCAGATGGAGTAGTAGAAAGCCAAAAACTGTCTTTCTGTTATATTCAAATAACACTTTATTGTGGCATTTTCACTGAACACTTTACAAAGTCGCAACACTTGTTTCACTACGCAATAGTTGCCTCAGGCGTGTGCATAATGTAGTATGAACACACTTGTGGAAGCTATTGTATAGCGAAAAAGCTGTTTCGGTTTTTCAACACTGTTCAGTGAATACCTCACAATAATGAAGTATCAGCCAATTCCATCACATAATTCTGTCATATGCTTGCTTAAAACTCCTGATATCATAGTCCATAGTCAAAATCTTACGAAGATGCCTCATAACGGATCGACATAAGACAAAATCTACGAATATCAATGATAAACTAGGTTCCCAAAGGCGGTAAGCTGCAAAAACAAGCTTCGACATTGACTCACAAAAGAGCTTTGTCCTCTGCATTTCTCTGTACTTTCACGGCGGGGCAACAGACCGATTCCGAGTATCACTCCTCGTCAATGCCATATAGATATAACCAGGACACTAGTGCTGCCCTATATTCTAATATTTTCATCGAAGATCCACCGCATATATGAAACTTCTGTCTGAGACAGGTTCTGTTTCAACTATAATGAAATAGTAACAAGTCCTAATTGTGAGCAACGCCCCAAGCGGGAAAAAAGTATCACGTGTATCGAAACTCTAACAGAAATCATAATCAGTTTGTCTGTGTCGAGGAGAGATACATAAATATTAACAAAATTGACACGGGCATTCAATGATATCCGACAAGTGAAATTCTTGTAGATGCTTTTCGTTCGTTATGCCAATTTGTTGTTGTATCTTAAACCCCAATTGTGATGATGTCAATTAACTAATTGTTATCATACCTAATAAGTGTCCAGTTGATACTCATAATCATGATATAACAGAGTAAGCGAAAGTCTTGGAACGGGACTTTCGTCGAATATGTCATCATGTACAAATCTCAATAAATTCAAGATTTTCGTATTATTTATGTGGCCGTTCTATGAAGCTTCTCTGGTGAAAAAACCAATTGTGTGCTTCTTGAAACAATTTTTTTAACCAGTTTGACTAACAAACTTCTTGTCACAATTCATATCGCAAATCCCAGGCTTCTTTCTGTCTACCTATCTAAGGAATTAGTTTTAGCCATATCCTCATAATGCATCACTCTTGTTTTAGATCAATTTATATTATATTAGACAATGGAAGTCCGAACTGATGAAATACACCACGAAACATTGTCAACCACCTTCAAACAAAAGTAAAAATGTTTGTTCCTTCGATCGAACATGCCAGAATTCGTGAATGTCGTTTAGTCTCCCCAAATAATATTGTGGACAAAATTGTTATTTCGCACCTTCCGTTGAAAGCATTTATAGAATTGCAACCTTCTTTCAGGACCATTACGATATAGTTTTTGCACGGCTTGCACGTGCTTTGAACGAATTCTTATATGGTTTAATGTATAGTTCGTACATATCTATCTTTTCCTCATTTGTGTAACTTACCATATGAAATAAGTTGAATTCAAATTACACAGAAAAGTTTTTAACGACACAAAGTTTTTGTGACGCAATAATGAATGAAGTGAAAATAGTGTGAGATTTCTTTTTTATGTTCTTTTTTATCCACGGCCTTCTACTTGAAAATAATACATTCAATAAACCTAGAGTACGAAAAAACAAGTCTATCAACGGTATTGATGTTCTGACCCAAGTTCAATTCAATTTAGAAAAAGGGCGAGAACTGTGGCCAGTGATGGCAATTTATCAAAAACTGCTGTTGATAAAATAGTCAAGAGACGCGAATACAATGATTTCAAATTTGAATACCAAGCCTTGCAAAAACTATATCGTAACGATCTTGAAAAGAAAAAACATTTCGATTCTGTAACCTATTTTAACGGAACAATGGAGATTGAGAATGCATTGAAAGGTATTCAAGGAGACGAAATGAGCAAATGTATAAGTAGTTTGAGTTCCAAAACCGCAAAGTGCATTTTACAAAATGGTGGACATTTCAAACACTTAATTCAATAATTTTCATTTACTTTCGGACTATCATTCAATTTTTCTTTCAAATAAATAACAGTTTCGGTGAGTTATTATGAGTTAGGTTTTTCTCCTCTTGAAATATATGAATAATTATTACTTGTTCCTTGCTTTGATTCTGATACATTCCATTCAGTTTAAAATGAGTGAGTTGATTTTCTTATCGGAATGTATTGGGTGTAGGTAATTTCACCAAAGGTAAATTTGATACAGATCCGAAGGTTCAAAATCACCTGAAAATCAACTTTAAATAACATTGTATGATATATCGTTGTATAATTGTTTGAATTTCCTATAACCATGTACTTTGTCTTCTCCTGGTTGATTTCCAACCAAAATGACATCGATTTTCCTTACGACTCGTCTTATATTTTTTTATTTTTGCTAATATTATTCATGTTATAAGCAAATGCTTTGCGTTGGTGCTCATTTTCAAAAATTGGTTCTTCCATTTTTATATGGTTCCTTCTGAAAATTGTCTCTAGAACCTAATCTGAGAACATAGTCAACAGCAGGTCCTCATTCCTGAGCCCTTTGTTATTTCAAAAGGTACTGATCTTTCCTGATTCCAGCTCATTTCGTTCGTTTCCTTCAAGCATATTTTCACTATCAGCTTATCAGATATTTTCA